TACTTTCAAATAAATTAAACTTTTTTCTTTTTCTTTTTAAATTAATTTTAATGAAAGTTTACAGAGCCTTTGATTTCCATTCATTCACTGTTGCACTTTTCTCCCTACCCAACCTCCCCCTGCTCCATCTCCCCCCCTTCCAGTTCACTCTTCTCTTTCAAAAGTAAAAGAAAAATTCTTTCATTGTTTTACAATCCCTCCCCCTAAGTCCACTCCACTATGCAGACTTCATTTTGTACTTCTGTCGTGATTGTATTGTAATTTTTGAGAAAAACTTTGTACAATTCCTTTTCTATCTTATCACAGAATGGTTTGAATCCCCCCTTCTCCCTTTTGGTATTTTTGTTTTTCTAACTGGGACAAGAGTAGTGTGAACATAGGTCTGAAAAACCAGTTGCATTGAAACATTCCAATAAATGACAACACAGAGGGTCTGGTGGATGCTGAGAGAGAGGATGTATTGAATCTAGAACAGCTTCCCTTGAGCGACTTTCTGTTCAAGCCCAAACCTCAAAGGTGTCTGGGCTGTGTGAGGTGGGACCATGGTGTGCAGACTGGGGCAGTAAGGACAAGAAGGACCAGGCACAATGGGGTTGGTGCTGAGCGTGAGTTTCTCGGCTTCTGGGCTCATGCTTGCTGTTGTTGCTGCATGAGGTTGATCAGGCATTGATGGAAGAATCATGAGAGGTCACTGGGTTGGTGCCCTCAAGCTCAGGTTCAATTTTCTTAGCCAGCTGGTCAGCTCCCCTCCCCACTGGCCGAAGCTGTTGATGCCCCAGTGACTCCCTGAATGAAGATCTTACGCTCATACATGGTCCTCAAACTAACATTATTGCTCCTTAATAATTTGGAGGGGCCTTTGACTGCAGACTTTTCTAGTGCAATATGTCTCCTGATTTCCTAACTGCTGGTACCAATGATATTGATTGTAGATCCAAGCAAGAAGAAGTTGTTGACAGTTTATCTGTGCTAAGAACACAGATCCTTCTAAATAGAGTCCTGGGTCTGGACCAGGATGAGGAAGTCACTAGGTATCATCTTGGTGTCTTGGATAAGCTGGTAGAAGGCATGGTTTCATGGGTCCCTGGTTCCTGCTACAAGTTGGGGCCCGTCTGGTCATCCACACAGGCACTGGACTTGGTAACCTATTTCCCACTGGGTTCCATGCCATCTTGCTGGAAGTAGGCAGCAAAGCAGTAGAGGAACTGGCCATAGGACAGCATAGCCTGAGTCTCACAGTTGAAGCTCTTGATGTACCAGATCCCCAGCAGAGCCAGCAGGACAGGGCCATTTTTCTCCAGGGATGCAATACAGAAATGCTGGTCTATCCAGTGTACTCCTGATAGCAGCTGACTAAAGTATAAAAAAAATGTATTGTGATGGGAAAGTCTGCTGTTAGGGACCTCTGTAAAGTACTCAAGAGCAACAGTGTCTTTTTGGAGATGAAGGTGCACCTGATACAGGCCATGGTCTTTGCAATCACTTGTTATGTATCAGAAAGCTGGACAGTGACCAATTGGTAGCATCAGGATGGATGGCGAAGAGATTGAGATTGTTCACAACTTCAGTTTGCTTGCCTCCACAGTCAACACTCTTGGCACCAGCAGCCAGGAAATAAAAAAACTGTATTGTTATGGGAAAGTCTGCTGTTAGGGACCTCTCTAAAGTACTCAAGAGCAACGGTGTCTCTCTGGAGACGAAGGTGCGCCTGATACAGGCCATGGTCTTTGCAATCACTTGTTATGCATCAGAAAGCTGGACAATGACTAGGGAGGACAGAAGGAGAATTGACGCCTTTGAGCTGTGGTGCTGGAGAAGAGTATTGAATGTACCATGGACTGCCAAGAAAACAGATTCCTCCTAGAGAGGGTTAAACCAGGCTACTCCTTGGAGGCAAAGATTCTGGGGCTTCATCTGACATACTCTGGACATGTTGCAAGGAGAGACAGGTCTTTGGAGAGGGACATCATGCTGGGTAGAGTAGAGGGACAGCGCAGGAGGGGAAGACCCTCTATGAGGTGGATTGATTCAGTGACTGGGGTAATCGGGATGGGTGTGTCAGAGGCAATGCGATTGGCACAGGATAGAGTGGGGTTTAGGGCTGTTGTACATAGGGTCGCTATGAGTCGCAAACGACGGCACATAACAACAACAACAACGACAACATAGGTAGGACAGTGAAGAGTCTGATGGCTGATCACAGCGAAGATCGTCCTTCTCCTGGGTCATAAAGGTCTTGAATTAAATTATTAACAGGGAGAACTAGGGGCTCAGTGAGGCCAGGGTTTTAGCAATGTGGGTCCCATTGTGTTGGAGACAAACTAGACCTGGGACCACCTGTAGGCTTCAGACACCATGAGGGGTCCCAGCTCAGAGCCCCCGATGCCTCTGCTGATCACATCCACAATGGGCTTGCCTGTGTACCCTGTCCAGTCACTGCTTTGGGACGTGCCGGGCAGAAAGACGTCATCTTGTCTGGTACCCTGTTGACGGTGGGCATCACCTCCTCGGTGTCCACCTTGATGGGTGAGTTTAACCAGTTCCATAGGGACACACAGCACTGCTTGGTCCTCAGTGAAGTTGATCTTCTCACCACTGAACATGTGCTCCTGGGCAGCCTCCAGGCCTCTGGACTTGCCAGGTTACCGGCATCCTTATCACATCCTCTGTCACCAGGTTCTTGGAGTAATCCAGTAAAACATGCCCGTGGTTGGTGTTGAGGGTCAAGGTGAAGAGGTTGGAGTGCTCCTTGTCTGAGTCAAAGAGGTGGTGCAGCTTGAGATCAGAGGCGTGTTCCAGAAGCTTCTGCTGCAGCTGCTGCAGGTTGTGGGTGAGATTGGCAGGGTCAGCTGGGTGCGTGGATCAAGACTGGAGAGGAGGATGAGGAACCGCAGAATGCTTGGGTTTGTTATATTAACCTTTCATCTGGAGATCTCGATCTTTTTTAATTTTTTTAAATTTTTTTATTATTATTATTTTTTGTGCGTGTGTGTACCGTCAAATCAGATCTGACTGGTACAGGAGGAGATTGTCCCTCCTTCCCCGGCAGAGCATCCATCTGGTGGGTTCGAACTGTGCGCCTCTGGGATTGTAGTTGCAGTTCATTGCCACTAGGCCACCAGAGCTCCCCTTGGAGATCTCGATCTTAATACTTTTACTAGTTTGCTTAGTGTCTGTCATGGCTTCTCAAGAGAGTTGTTCTCGAGTTTTGGCCCCTGAACCAATAACTTTCATATCACCTGGGAGCTTGTATGCCATCAAGTCAGAATCAACTCACAGATGACCCTCCAGAGGGTTTTCAGAGGTCGTAAATGTCACAAGAGGAGGAGACTGCTCATCTTTCGTCCGTGGAGCAGCTGGAAGATTTGAACTACATGCCTTTGGGACATAACTCCTTGCCACTTAGCCTTCAGAGCTCCCTGGGAACTAGCTAGAAATCCAAACTCTTGTACTCTCAACCAGACCTCCAGAATAAAAACTTTTGGGGAGAAATATTCAGCTTTAAAAATGTTGGAGCACAGAAACATAAAAATAGTGCTAACTTTATCCCTCCTTTGTCCCCTCCTTTTGCCTATAGTTTTAGATGAAATGTAATATTGGCTATTGGTGGCAAGAATTATTCATTTTATGTTATTTAAAAGAAATGTTGTCTGTCATTTCTGGTTTCCAGCATGTTTAATGTTTCCTACTATTTGAAGTTTTTACTTAGCGTTCAAATACAGGGATGACGATTGAACTTCATTCAGCAAATATCTTGCGGCTCTTACTGACTTACTTTTGAATTTTCCTCTTTAATTTGTTAGTATTTGAAATGTGTTGCTGGTTTGGTTTTGTTTTGTTTTGTTGAACTTTACACACATTCATGGAATAAATCTAACTTGGTGTGTTTATTTTTAACACAGTGCTAGATTTGGGGTTGCCTGTCGTCTGACCTAGTTTAATGGAATTATTAGTTTCTTCCCCAAATAGCAAAAACAATCTTCTTTATCTTGAAACAGTAAAATTGGTTCTTCTTTTTCTTACAGGTGTCCTTTCTGTGTGTTGCAGTTAAAAGGGTTAAATGAATTTTAATACTAAATGTTTCAAATCTTAACAGTAGTAATGGTTGACTTCCTGTGTTCCTGTTAGAATTCTACCAAATATCTGGCTGGGCAGCTGTCCTCGGCAACTGGAACATGTAACCATCAAACTGAAGCATGAATTGGGGATTACTGCTGTAATGAATTTCCAGACGGAGTGGGATATTGTACAAAATTGCTCAGGTTGTAACCGCTATCCAGAGCCCATGAGTCCAGACACTATGATTAAACTGTACAAGGAAGAAGGCTTGGTCTACATCTGGATGCCAACGCCAGATATGAGTACGGAAGGTAAGGGTTAGAAAAATGCCCTGTGTGTTTCATATTCAAAGAACATCCTGCTGTCTTTTGTCTGTCTTTATCTACCTCTGTATAATTGAATGAGTTATGTATAAATAGTCTAAATATATAAAGTATTCCATTTAAAGCATGCCTTTTGGCACCTCAGCCGAGATTCCACTTAACACACTATCTTTATTTTGTTTGCTCATTAAACAAATCTTCATTGTGTATCTACTGTGTGTGTGACATTATGCTGCTAGCTGGGAATACAAACAGTGGTGGAACAACCATCCTATGGGACTGCCATTAACTGAATGACGACAAACATCATTAAAACGGTGGGGAGATATTTATGAAAATGATGCTCAGAGAAGGTTACGATAATTAAAAAAGGCAAGCTCACTGCCATCAAGTTCATGCTGATTCAAGGCTATAAATCTTTACAGGAGAAGATTTCCCATCCTCCACGGAGCACCAGGGTTTTCACACATCTGATCTTTCAGTTAGCAATCCAACATGTTATGCCTTCCACCACCAGGGATCCTTGCTATGAGAATAAATATAGGCCCATCCGACCTGAAGAAGGAGTTAGGAAAGATTTAACAGGGAGGCAGTGCTTGAACTGAGATCTGAAAAGTGAACAGGAGAAGAGTGAGGTGGTGAGAAAGAGCGCAGTCCTGCTGCAGGGAAGGGCGTAGAGTGTTGCAGGCACTCGAGGCAGAATGTTTGGCCACGGCGGGGAAATCAAGGGCAGGATGCTGTGTAGGGTGACCCAGAGAAGTGGGCCCAAGTCACAGATGTGCAGGGAATCCTTGGCAGGCGTTGTGAGGAGCAATGGAGAAAGGTGAGAAGCTGAACAATAGAGGAAGCCTATCGTTCCCTTCTGGAATTGGCTTCTCACCTCCATGGAGGGGCCCAGGACCTCCCTATTGCCTGAGTTAAGTATCCCACGTGGTCAGGCCTCACAACAGTTTGCTCCTCAAAGTACCTTTGTCGAATCCAGCTGCTCCATACATCTTCCCAAACTTGATACCAGCTCAACCTTACATTTTTCCTCTCCCAACGTGCACCTTGATGGTGGTAAGGAGAATGGATTGGAGGTGAGCCAGAACAGAGATGAGTGGGTGTTATTTGGGTGGCATTTAGGTTCCTGTAATGGTCAGGGTGAGAAGCAAATGTGAGAGTGCAATTAGTGAGACAAGACAGCATGTTTTCTTCTGCCCCCATGCCTTTATGGAGAGAGAATTATCAGCATTGAGGCAGGCGGGCTTTGAGACTAAGCATTGTTTTGATCTAAGAGGCAGTGTGACAAATTCAGAACCAATTACACTACAGAGAAGAATGGTCTGGCAGAGGATCAGGAATGTGCTCTCTCAGGGTGAACTGGTGAGCTTCAAGCTCTGGAGAGGAACACAGGAGGTGAACCTTGGAGCTGACCTGAGTGTCTTATGGTGGAAAGCCCCAGGGCATGCTAGGGGCGGAAATAAGCCAGGGCACAGCCAACCTCATGGTATAACTCCAACCATGGGCTTTAGGACTGGACTTTTAGCTTTAGAAGACAGAAGAAAAGTATTTTGTTTTGTATTGGTTTTTGGTTTTTTATTTTCTTTCTACTAGTTTATTTATAATATTCGAATACAAATTTGAACAAATTCTTTCAATTTCCCCCCCCCATCAAATTGTACAACCCAATAATCAATTACCTCTTTTCCATGCACATCCACATCCCTCTGCTTCCAGCCTCTCCCACCCCTCCTGGATCCTTATACTCACTCTACATTAATGGTTTCATATAGAATTTAGCCTTGTGGGATAGAGTTAGCTCACTCAGCAAAATGCTCTCCAGTATCTCCCAAGTTAGGTAATAATTTACAAAGTTATTGATCCTGCGTGCTGCATAGTATTCCATTGTGTGAATGTACCATAATTTCTTAATCCGTTCGTTTGTGGTTGGACATTTGGGCTGTTTCCATGTTTTTGCGATGGTGAATAATGCTGCTATGAACATTGGTGTACAAATCTCAGTTTGTGCCTCAGTTCTTATATTTTCAGGGTATATTCCAAGTAGTGGGATAGCTGAGTCATATGGAATTTCTAATCAGCTTTTTGAGAAGGTGCCAAACTGCCTTCCAGAATGGTCGCACCACTTTACAATCCCACCAACAATGTGTAAGAGTTCCTTTCTTGCCACATCCTCTCCAGCATCTATTACTTGATGCCCTGTTAAATGTTACCACCCTTACTGGAGATGGTACCTCATTGTGGTTTTGATTTGCATCTCTCTTATTGCCAGATAAGAAGAGTATTTTTTAAATTTTTATGAAATTTTATTTATTTTCATGTACATTTACATAGATTTTGGAGTATTTTTAAGGAAGGAAAGGAGATAGGTGGCAGACACCAGAAAAATAAGTTACACAAGTAGTGCTGCATAGCAGCCAGCAGGGGGCAGAAGAGAGCTATAGAACCAGTGCCTTGTGAGGGCGTTTTCCTGAACTGCTATTTTGGGGGAAAAGAAGCATTTTCCTTCTTTCATCAAATGTACATTATGTGTCAAACGCTCTTCTGAGAAATTTACATGCACTTATTTATTTAATTCTCTTATCAAAGCTCGAGGTGTTATAGTTAGCTTCAATTTGCAGAGGAAGAGACTTGAGGGACACAAAGTGATAAAGAATTCTCCACACACCAGGAAAAGTGGATGGATCCAGAGAACATGGTGCTGAGTGAAATAAGTCAGTCATTAAAAGACGGATACTGTATGAGTTAACTATTGTGAAAAGCTAGAGAAAGTTTTCTACATAGAAAAATAATTTTGGACAGTTCTTAGCGATGGGAAGGGTGGGTGGGTGAGAAGAGTAAAATAAGAATGAAAAAAAAAAATGTAAGCAATCTGCCCAAGGTCTTATAACTAACTCGAAGGAGGCATGGCCTGGATTTCAGCGCAGGCAACTGACTTGAGCATTGCTCCAAACTCTTTTCTATGAAGCTTCTCCCTCCATCTGCTCCACACTCTTCACGAGTATTCAACAAACCGACATACTTGAACCACTCATGTTCAGCACCAGTTGGAGTTAAAAAGGCACAAGGGAGATTGACGATCTCAAAATGAAAAGTCTCGAGGCAGAGCAGGGCCTGAAGACCTTAAGGGCTATAGAGAAATTAAGCATCTGGACATCACCCACCTGTAGAGGGCTACAGGGTCTCACTCAAGTGGCCCTCCTGGCTAATTTGTTTTAATTATTAATTCTAATGAAAGTTTACAGAGACTTACGGTTTCCATTCATTCACTATAGCACTTTTCTCCCGGACCCCTCAATTAGCTCCCCTCCTTGAAAAGTATAAGAACAATTATTGCATTGTTATGCAATCCCTCCCCCCAAGTCCATTCCACTATGCAGCCTTCCTTCTGATATATACACACAATGGAATACTCTGCTGCATTGAAAAACAAGGAACTCATGAAATATGATACAAAATGGGTGAGTCTGGAGGACATTATGCTGAGTGAAATATGTCAGTCACAAAAGGACAAATATTGCCTAGTGCCACTGTTGTAAAGTGGGACTGACATCCGGGTTGGGGAGAGACTGACAAAGATTGGATAAATTATGTATACTGCATTGAAACAGATGACGGAGAGAACTGTTTAAAAGGGATATATGATTGGGTATTATTGTCATGACAGGAGTTCAGAATGAAGCCTCCTGGCTAATTTAAAATCCTTTCAGGTGTCTGCATTTGAACAGGTTAAAGATGAGCTACTTCTTTTTAATCCTGAAGGTAAGGATTGTCTTTGACAGTTTGGTTACTGGTTACCTACCTCTCTTTGTAACTTCAATCCAAGAAGCTTTATTTAGACTTCAAGCCTTTTTCTTTCTTGTTGAGTTGGAACTCACCCATAGCTGATCCTCCAGCCAGTTTTCCGAGGCAGCAAATCACAAAGGAGGAGATTGTCCATCCTTCTCCTGTGTAGCAGCTGGTGGATTCGAACCCTGCACCTTTGCATTGGCAGTTCTGGTATAAATAGATACTGGTGGAACACACTTTGGATCAAACCACAAACTTTGTATCAGCCACAAACTTTTAAGTCACTGGGTCAACTGGCCTTTTTTTTTTTTTACATAAAAGGAAGAATAAAAACAGATTGTTTTCATAAAAGAGCATTGGCTGAACCTAGACCTGGTCATAGTCACCTTGTTCAGCTTGTTTCTCTGGTTTCAAAATAGACCAGAGTGTTCACCAAGAGAGACCATCACTTCCAGAGAACAATTCAAGTTTGGCTTCTTTGATTCCCATAGCAGTAGTCTGTGAGGCAAGGTGCCCCATTTGCTCCCATGCACTGATTATCTGGAAGGTCCTAATGACTAGTAAGTTGTTTAAGGCTATGCAGAGGTCTGAGGAAAGACTATATCCCCAGACACCCACGGTAATTTATCTACATTTTTTTGAGGTCACCAAGTCATAACAGCTCAGAAGTGTAGCATCGTCCAGGCTGACACCACCTTGCAAAGCAAATGAAAAGAAGGCGCCCACTTGGAAACCAGCAAAGGTCCCCACTTGGAAACCAATTAAGGCCGAGTTCTGCTCTGGACACCTGGGAGGGTGCAAAAAGGGTTAACAATCATTCAGGAGTCTCGGGACTCATAGTATTAGCACAATGAACATAGAGGTTAATGCAGCCGAGTATTTTTAGAACTCTGGAGAAAGATCCATCTGGAAGTGTTTTGAGCCGCAGCATAATGCTGTCAGATAAAGCCTGAGGAAGGAGACAGTGTGTTAGGCTCGACTGTCACCACCGGTTGTCATAGACCTGTTACAATCAATTGTACTATCGATCCTACCTCTAGTACACTTTGTTCTATGCAGAGAGATTATTTAGATTTTTTAAAAAATTCTGATTTGCGACTGTCACCTGAGAAACAAAAAGACTCTCTCTCCCGCTCACTAGCACACCTGAGGGAGGGAAAAACTCCTCAAAACCCTGCTCATTAAAGTGCAGTTTTTCT